ACCCATAAGAATTTTATTATGAGAAGAACTTCAAAATGCCTTCGGCATAATGGTCAATAAAAATTTCATGTAGAGGTTTGGACATTTCGTCTTTAAAGCTCTTGTAGAATCCGAAGCACTATACAGGGTGTTTCAATCGGAAATACGCGTGCGATAGACCTAGGTTAAAGCATGTCTTTTTTTAATCTAAAAATAATTATAGAGGTTGCTACAAAAGATATAGATAACGAGTATTTCGAAGAATGATTTCAAAATTACTCTTCTTAGGTTCTCGATGAGTAAATTGATAGAATTACTAGAATTAGTGCTGAAGCAGCAAATAAAACTATTGCGCATCAAAAAAGAAGCATTGATAAACTCTCCATTAAAACAAAACAACTTCTAGAAAAAAGAAGAGAACTTCTAATAGCAGGGAAGGAAACACAATTGACTACAAAGAAATAAAAAAAAACTGTAAGAAAAATTGTCAAACAAGATATACTTGAGCACAACACCAGACTAGTGGAAAATATTAGTGAAAAGAACAGAGGGATGAAATTTTTTAAAAGAAGAACGGTAGCGAAAAAAAATATAAGACTAATGTTAAAACTCATACCATAATTTTTGAATAAAGCTTTAAAGCTGTCGTGGTATTCTGCTGAATCAATAATTTGAATTGCTGCTGTCGTGTTGAATTGAGGTGACTTTCCTATACGTTACATTATAACAACTCAGTTATCAACAGGTCCTCGTAGACACTTCGTCTCAGGACTATTTTACTCATGTAGAGTCATACGCCGCTATGTTACCTATCCAACGGTAACTTAACCATCACTAATTAGAAATACTAATAATGTAAAACAAATTCAAATTTATAACATTTAAAGGGTTTTTACCCATATATTTTGGTGGCTACTAGCATGTACAAACGTTTGCACTGATGATGGATTGTTTAATCCGAAAACGTTTTGCAATGTGTTTGTGATAGCCCGTTTGAGGCATTTTTATATACCTTTTATAAAGGATTTTAACAAAATTTTTTTATTTACTAATGCCACAAAACGACTATCGGTTCATAAAAGTTTCTATAAAATCTCGTTTTGGGGACCGATGATTCTGGCTCTGTTATTGGGTGTTGGATACAATTATTTTGCTTTTTCTTTATTTATTTGTAGGCTTATATTTTTTTAGGTAAAGTACATTTAGTCGTGAATATGGACATAAAATGAATGTACAAAAGACCAAGGTAATGATAATCGATTGAATTAGAAATAACCAGCCAGAAATACGAAACGTACCGGGGTTTGGAGTGGGAAGCCATGGGAAGATACGGACATAACCAGGACACGCTAACTATGCGTCAGAATCTTGGACCATTAAAAAGTCCGACTCACGACGTATAATGGCCTTTGAAACGTGGGTATATCTGATAGAACTCGACATCACTACTAGGCTTACAACAATCATTAACCAAAACATATTGAGGTACTTTGGACACATTACCAGACGAATGGAAGGCATGGATAGGTTGGTGGTTGAATGCAAGGTAGATGGTAAAAGAACTCGAGGAAGATCGCCACTCCGATGGTCAGACCAAATAAAGTGCGCTACCCGTTACTCTCTGTCCGAGGCAGCACACCGAGCCCAGGAGGGAGAAGAATAGATAGCAACCATTCGTCAAATACCATGAGTTCTAAAGAAAAACAAAATAAATACAGTATTTAACACCGATAAAAAATCTCCATATTATTATCCGCAAAAACAAAAAATTGTATTAAAAAATCAAGGAGTATACAAGATCTCTTATAAAGACTGCGACAAACTGTACGTTGAACAGACCAGTAGAATCATACAGGTACAACGAAATAAACATCGAAATGCCATAGAAAGGAAAAAAGTTACTCCTAGGATAACATGTAATAAGCGCAGAACATAAAATAAACTTGAATAAAATCACGTCGCTAGCTAAGATTGAAAATAGGATAGAACGTGTAATCAGAGAAGCAATAGAGATTGAAAAACATCCAAACAATGTAAACACAAGAGATGATGCCCAAACACTTCTAACTTGATTGAAACGACCTTAGGACCAATTACAAGAAGCGCAGCAAGGTATTAAAGCGAAACACATAGAAGTACTTAGCACTAAATTTAAGCAGTGGAATGACGATAACTGCTAAGATTTCTCAATAATGCATATTTTCATTGAATGGATTTTTCTTCACCCGTTTACATATATTATTTTGTTTCTTACTCCTTATCAATTGGCTATGAATTAAATGGCTCTTAGTATTGGTTTTAGAAAGCATACATATTGATCCCATTGTATATAATTTCTTTATACTTATTCCAAGAAACGTTACCCAAATAACCATTCAAATCAGATCAACTCACTTTACAGATACACATTTAACATTAATTCGCTAGATATTACATTCCGATACTTCGTATACATCGGTTCCAAGAGAATCCATGCTTTCTTCTTTAATATCTCGTAATTTTTTTTATATAAATCGATTTCCTGTTAGACTAATCTACCTCACAGCAAATAGAATAATCCCACAGCAGAACCTACCATTACACTAATAGTTTGTAATATATACACACAAAGTATCAAAATATCCTTTCCGTTTTATTTTGCCGCATGTGTAGCGTGGATTCCAGTCTTGTTAAAATTAATGAGAAATTCGAGATTAAATGATTTTATAGAGCTCTAAATTGACAGTCAGAATAACTACCTCAATTACTCAAATGAAATGTCGAACAGAAAATAGATGTTTGATAATTTGATATTGGATTCTGTGACAGACGCATGAGCGGGGTAAATGTTTGTCAGCAATTCGGCTTTTGACTTCTTCTGCTCGACTACGATAACTTTATTGGCTTAAGAAAATCAAAGAGGGCAAGACATATCTTCTGAATGAAAATGGCTCACATTAGTATTAGCTATATATAAGGATTCTCGGATAATTATGGGACAACTTTGTCAAATCAGTTTGCTTCTTAATATTAGTCTATTTATAGCAGTAATTGTAACTATAAACATTAACTACAGTACAGAACTCTCAGTACAAGTCTTATTTTTAACATCTCCTTGAGTTACCAACGAACTGAAACATGCTGTTGGTGTGACGAGCAGAAAGCCAGAATTATTGAGCTTGATAGAATTGCCGTTTCAAAAGGTAACGACGAAAAAGTAAAGTTAGAGAACGATATCAGGAAGCTAGAATTTGAAACGATACTCCATTTGAAAAAGACCGATTGGTTTTATGAATTGAAACGGCGTGCAAAAACTGAAGCTAAAACGTTATCAACTGTATAGGCTATCACTATAGACTTCGGAAAAATTTCTTTGTTATTTTATATTTTTGACATTCATATTTTGTCAAATGGTGTTTTAAAATATCCTTGTACAAATCATTTACAAGTTCGACTAAACTATCGCAAAAATGGGGTCAGATGAAGTTGCCTCAATGCTGTATCATTTTTAACACCTACCTGAATCCTACAGTTATAAACTTTATGTGATTGCCAACTTTTGCAGAGGACGAAACAAAAATCAGACGATCATCAAATTATTCCACTACGTAACTACTACACTAAAAAAATTTGACACTGTGACAATTACTTAAGCAGTGCGCCGCCATTCTTTCATGGAACGGGACAAAAACATGGGACTGATCTCCAAAAGTACAAAGGCTGAAAGCCCAGATGGTTGAAGAGAGGTTATATAAGCTGCGCGAATCAAGTGACATCCGTTTATTTAAAGAGTTATGACAATTATGTTAAAGAGTAGAGTATACGCCGTAGTGTGGGTGGTGACATGTGGCTCAGTACTGGGAGCCATTGCGTAGGGATGGATTTGATAACACCAGCAATCATTCTCATTTTATTGTTCAATTGTGCATCTACTTTGTGTATATGTGGGTTGTTAAGTCAGGCTGAAGAGCAGTACTCCGCGGTTGAGAAGACAGGGCGCAGGGCAGATGATCGCAAGGTGGAAGCCGATGCTCCCCATGTTGTACCGCACAGCTTCTGGATGATGTTGTTTCTGGATTTAAGTTTTTCCGCTGTTTTTGACAGATGTTTCTTGAAAGATAGGGTTCTATCAAGAGTCACCCCAAGGTACCTTGGTGTTTTATTGTAGGCCAGTGTGGTGTTTTCGAATTGGACGTTCAGTGTTCTTCCTACAAGCTTGTTATTTAGATGAAAGCTGGAAACCTCTGTTTTTGTAACGTTTGGTTGGAGCCTCCATTTACGGAAATACTTTCCCAC